CCAGGCCTCTGCTCAGAGCCGGGGTGCATCTTGGTTCAAGGCTATGTTCATTGAGCCCTGTCCGTTCCCAGCACTTCACATCGTGGTCTCTGAGCCTTGCACCAGGCGGTTATTATTATCCGCAGTCTACAGGTCAGAACAGAAGCTCGGAGGGGCTACTGCCCAGGCGGCCCAGCCCGGGAGCAATTGGCTGGGTGGGGGAGGGGTGACGGGCCTCCAGCCTGCGCCTGTCAGGCCCTGCCCTTCCTGTGGCTGCACCGCGGTCCAGGCTCCTGGGTTTTCCTCTTTCCAGAAGAGCTCCAGCCTTGATCTCCTGCTTCCAGCCCTTTCCTGTCCCTTAGACGGAAGATGCTAGCTCACAGAGAAAGAATTTTTATTTCATATCTGCCTCTCCTTTTAGACTCCGGCCAGTCCTGGGTGCAGTGAGATCTGAACAGCCAGGCGTTGGCCCGAGCCCCCCCTTCAGACTAGGGGTCTTGGGTGGGGGGTCAGCTGGGAGGGCAGAGCCCCAGACACCGGAGGACAGAACGGGAGAGGGAAGACATCAGGACATCCCCTAGCTCCGTGTCCTAAAACGGAGGGAACAGCATTCCTGGGGCCTCCTCCCCTCGCACCCAGGATCAGATGCCAACAAGTTCTGCCCCCAAACACGCCGTGCGCACATCGCTTGAAATCGGGGTGCTGGGGCCAGGCCAATGCTTGCCTTTTCCTACACGTCTCAGCAAAGCTCCTCAAAACCCTCTCTTCCCCCAGCAGGAAAAGCATATGTTCTTTCCATATAGAGGAAAAATTGTTCCACGAGTGAGTAAGTCTCTTGGGCGCGGAGCCCGGCCCAGCCCGCAGCTCGCCGGGCAGGAAGCGGGCAGTGTTCTTACCACCCTTGGAAGCAGCCCGCGCTGGATCCTCACCCTGGAAGACAGCGGGGCTTTGGACGGGAGCCGGGGGCGGCGGGGAGCAGGGGCCGGGCCAGTGCCTGAAGACAGCCAGCCGGCCAGGGCAGAGGATCCTTCCCCTGAATAGAAGCACTTTTCTCCATTCGGGCCGGGCGGGCGAAAGAGGGAGGGAAGGCTGAGGGGTATGAGAGGCGAAAGAGACCTTTGCAGTCCCCTCACCCCAGCAGCAAACGGGCCTGAGTCAGAGATGACTCAGGTACGTGCAGTGAGATGGGGCCATTTTTAGACCATCTTTTCCAGCCATCTCCAAACTCTCCGCGACGCCTCGGGGTTAGGTGGCACAAAGGGACCCCATCCTCGGTGCCTCGGTTCATTCTGCCGGAGCCGTTCGAACACCCAGGTGTTCCCCAGGCCAGCCCTGGGCTGGAGGACACTGCCTGTCCCTTGTCTCAGGCTCTGGTTCCCTTCCTACCTTTTCCGCATTTGCTAAGAATCTGTTGAGGATGCGGCCGAGGGGGGTGGGCAGGAAGGGACGGACAGGCCAAGCAGTGGCCGGGTGGTGGGACCGAGGCAGAATGGGAGGGGCTCCACAGAAGGAGAAAACGCTCAAGGAACTGGGGGCATCTAACCTGGAAAGTCAAAGACTCAGGGTAGGGGTGGCTGGGTGGCTCAGTCGGTTAAGCGTCCAACTTCAGCTCAGGTCGTGATATAAATAAACATTAAAAAAAAAAAAAAAGACGGTGCATTCACTGTCTTTGGAATATCCAGGTCCCTGTTTGAAAGGAGTCAGGTGTCTGGTGGACTAGAGCTTCGGTCTCACGCTGGTGGCCTGTGGGCCGGCCAGACACAGCCCTGACAATGTGTCCACCGGTCAGCATTTCTGCGCGGCCACAGCCCGCTGAGGCTGCGTGGCAACTGCCCGGTCCAGCCGGGCACGCATGCCCAGGGCAGCAGGCCACATCCGGCTCGAGTCCCTGCTTCGTCTCCTGGACTCGTCCCTTGGGCATTTACGTCTGTGCTTGGGGCACCTGCCCACACTCACCCTTCTCCTCTGGTTCGCCCTGTAGGTGCACCTGGGGCAGGAGGAACCCAGCTGGGCTGAGAGCACACGCCCTGAGCCACCCTGCACCGGCTGCCAGATAGAGCTTTCACCCGGATGGAAACCACCTTCCCCGCAAACCCGTCTCCCCTCCCCCCTCCCAGCCATTATGCTGGGGTCTATCGTGGTCCCTGGGGACTGGACGGAAGAGTCACTCGCCTTGCCTTCCTGCCCTGGGGCAGAGACAGTCCCCCAGGGTGTTTAGGGGCTAGGAAGGGCACCCAGGGGCAGATGATGCACTGTGAGCTGAGAGAAGGGACAAAGTGAGAAAGGGAACCCCCAGCCCCCACCCCTGTCAGCGGCTGTGGGTCTGAAGGAAGGTGGGGCAGGGTTGGGGAGGGTGGGGGACCAGAAACTAGCTGGGTGAGTAAAGCAGGGCGGATAAAGGGCTCGGGGAGGAGGGAGCAGAAGGCAAGGCCCAGCTCCAGCTTCTCCCTGTGTGCCTGGGGCGGACCTGACTTGGACCTTCCAGAACTGAGGGCAGAAGAGCAAGAGGCCGTGGCCTCCCTGGGTGATGAGGTTCCACCCAAAGGCTGTGTAGGCTGCAGCAGATTGCAGGGCAGTTTCACATCCCCGGCCCCAACTACTCCCACGGATAGCTATGGGCGTTGGGGCTAATATACCCATTTTACAGATGAGAAGACTGAGGCGAAAGTTGTCCGAGGATGAGCCTAGCCCCCAGGGTAAGAGCGAGGCTCCTGGGTGCTCACCAGCTCTGCTTTCTGAGCTGCTTGTCCAGGCCACTGGGTGGGGACGACAGAACTCACAAAGCAGCCACACAGCAAAGCATTACCTTCTCCTCCTCCAGGCTTTACAACCTCACCGAATGACACTGACATCTGCAGGCAGTAACTCCAGCGGACGCTGGGCACCCTGTGAAGGTCTCACCCCCCTTCGCGGCCCACCCAACGGGGCAGCTGCTGTTTCAGGGTGAGACGCGCAAGCCAAGTCAGCCTGACCCCGAAGCTGGTGCTCTCTAGAGGGCCACCTTCGGAGTCTCCCTGTGACCATCTCGCTCCACGGGAGCACTGGCTGTAGGGAAGATGGGGGCTCCTGAGCGGGGCCGGAGCCCACGGCACATGCTCCCCTCTGGGGTCCTTGACCCTCACCTCAGCGTCTGCCTGGGAGGTAGGATGGGCGCCTCCCCACTGGGGACTTCCTAGCACCACAGCCGGAAGCAGGAAGCTGGTCAGAGATTTCCCTGGGAATTGCCATCGCTCTGGGGATCCTGGTTCACCCCTGGACCTTGACCTGGGAAGGACCTTGACCTGGGGGTCTGAGAGTCCGGGCGCGCCTTCCAGGCCAGGCCGCTTCACCGTCCCGGCCCCAATCTGAGCCTCAGCTCAGGGGCTGAGTGAGGGCGGCCTAGAGGCTCACAGTTGCAGCCCCTTAGCCATTTTTAAAGACAGCCCCTCACACTTCTTGCCCAAAGGCTCCTCGAGTCGTTCTGTCTTCCAGGCCTCCCGCCCGGCAGACGGCCCAAGGGCGCCACCTAGTGGCCTGTCTCAGCCAGGCATGCGGCCGCACCCAGCAACTTTGAAGGTTCTCCAAAATCATCGCAGCAGAGGGCCAGGTCACAGCCCTGGAAGTCAGGCGGGCACCAGGCTAGGAGAGAGCAAGCTGCACCTCCCCTCTCTCCCAGACATCGGGGGGAGCTCCCCAGAAGTCAGTGTGCAAGTGGGAGGCAATGCTATTATCATGCAGCCTGAGCGAACAGTACTCGAATTTGGGGTGAATCAATCGGGCCTGGATTTGAGTCCCTTGCGTCCTTAACTGTACCTCAAGTCCCTCATCTGTGTAGTGGGGCCATTTAGGACACATTTCTCGGGGCTGCGGGCCTCTCTCTGCGTGAGCAGGCAGCCAGGGGGATAGCAGGGGTCTACCCTGGTGGTACTCAGACCGTAAGCCAGTGGCTCTTGACTGTGGCCGCACACGTTCAATCACCTGATGCTTACAGTGCCTTTCAACGTGTGGCCCTGGACCAGCAGCATCAGCATCAGTGAGGAGCTTGTTAGAAATGCAGATTCAGGGGCTCCACCCCAGTCCTGTTGAGTTGGAGAGTCTAGGGGTGGGGTCCAGCACCCTCCAGGTGATGCTGATGCTTGGTCAAGTGTGAGAACACTGTGCTTAGGTACTGGGGTTGCTTACAAAGCATCGCAGGTGATTGAAATGTCCTAGGCATCAGGAGCACCTGCCTCCCCGCCCCCCTCGGCCCCCACAGTAATTCTGCTTTAGAGGGACACCAGCATGGATTTAAAATAACTCTGCATCAGCTGCTTCTAATGAGCCGTCGCTGCTCTGGTGTGGACTCTCCTTCCCACACGCCATGCGTGCCCTTCCTTCAGAGATTGGGGACCCACAGCAGAGTGCAGCTGCTCTCCCTGGGGTCTCCAAAAACAATAACCACCAGTTCCTGACACTTGCTGAGTGCTCAAGCTGTGACAGGCATGGTGCTAGGGGCTATGTACGCAACATCTCACAAGAACCCCATGAATTGCTAGAATTGCCGATTTTACAGATGGAGAGGCTGAGGCACAGAGAGGTTACGTAACTCGCTCTAGGTCACACAGCTACTAAATGACAGAACGTGGAGTCCAACCTAGTTCTCTGTGACTTCAAAGTCCCCTGCCTTTGCTCCCTCGTTTTACAAGAGGAGGGACGACTTGCTGAAGGTCACTGCGGGTAGCACCCACCACAGTCTCTGGACCTCGGCTTCCAAGCTCACCAGTGCCTGGGCACCCATTCCAAGATGGCATGAATTGACCTCTGATCGGGGTGCTGCTCCCCTGGGCATAAATGCAACAGGAAAAGGGAGGCAGAGGCAAGGGCATTATTTAATTGCATGCCTCCTAGATTCTTCAAGGATTCCAGATGATTAAGGAAATTGACTTCCCCTCCCCAGCCCCCCATTCCAGCTCAGTCTTGACTGTCGTGTAAGCCTCACATGGACTGAGGCCCATCACCAGGACTCCCCCGGCTCCGAAAAAGGCAAGAGGAGGAGCCACTGGTGGAGTAGAAAAAATATAGAGCTGTTTTACTACTAAAGATGCGTTTTCCAGAAGCAAGGGAACTGCTGTCCCGACGAGATGAAGACCTTGGCGAAGTCCCTGCGGAAGGGGCTGTTTGGGGCTCGGGTCTCGCACCACGAGGGGGCAGCCCTCAGCGGGCCCGAATTCGCTGGGCGATCCGGTAGAGCTCCATCGTTGCCCTGGCATCTTCCACCGAGCTGTGGCCAGACCGGCTGTTCTGCAGACACAGATACAGAGTGGGGGGGACTTGAGGTAGGGTGGAATGCAGATCCCCCTGTGACCCGGGCCTTCCCAGCTCGCAACTCGGTTTCCAGGGCCCCGAGGAGGATTGGTGGGTGCGTATCCCCAGGCTTCTGACACCCTGGACTCCGCAGGTGGCTGGAGCAGGCCCGGCTTCTCCTGTCAGTCCCAGACCTGGGGCACCAGGCCCAGACATGGCCAGGCACAACTTCCAGCATCCAGGCTGTGTCGTGTCCTCAAGGAGCTTATAATCTGGTGGGGGGAGGGGGCGCTGGAGACACACAGACACAGAGGGAGCTCCAGGGGACCGGCTGAATGTAAAAAAAATATATGCCAGGGGCGTCTGGGTGGCTCAGTTGGTTAAGCGCCAACTTCGACTCAGGTCAGGATCTCACAGTTCATGGGTTCAAGCCCCGCATCGGGCTCTGTGCTGACAGCTCAGAGCCTGGAGTCTGCTTCAGATTCCGTGTCTCCCTCTCTCTCTGCCCCTCCCCCACTCATGCTCAGGTCTCTGTCTCTCCCTCTCTCAAAAATAAATATATGTTAAAAAAATTTTTCTTAATGCCACAGTGATGTTTCTAAATGCAACTTGCTCAGCACTTCAGTGACTCCACGTGCGGAGCATTCTGTCCTGGGTCCTGCGTGCCACGAGGCTAACAGAGGGGCCTACGTTCAGGCGGGTCCCCTGCGCCCTACCCGGTCCCTGATGGCCCAGCCACCCGGCTCCTCGCATCTCAGGCTGGGGCTCCTGCCCTCCCCTCCCCACCCTCCTCCACTAAGACTCACCCTTCAGATTTGTGCAGACCTGCCTCCCTTCATCCCTTCCAGCTAATGGACCACGCTCCCTTCCACCCAAGAGTCCCTGGGGCACAAGCCCAGCCCTGCTTAGCCCCGCCCCTCCAGCATCTTGACCAGCCTGGCACAGAGTGGATGCTAATAAATATCTCCCCCACGTGGAGACGGGGCTGCTGGTGTCCGGCCCACCTCACTGAGCCCCCAAGCACCCCAAGCCCCTATCGGGGCTTGCCCCACACTACACGTGCTGAGAAATGGGGGCCCCAGGGCTGTGTGTAAATAAGGCCACTCCCTGGATAAATCTGAGGGCTGCAGTTTACCCCATTTCCCAGAGGCCCGCAGTGGGATTGACCGTCAGTGATCACGGCGCCTGCATGGCTCAGTCGATTATGCAGGGGCTCGGGTCATGACCTCCTGGTCAGCGAGCTCGAGTCCTACACTGGGCTTTCTGCTGTCAGCGCAGAGCCCGCTTTGGATCTCCCCTCTCTCTCTCCCAAAAATAAACATTAAAGAAAACAACCCCAGGGGCACCTGGGTGGCTCAGTCGGTTAAGCTTCCGACTTCGGCTCAGGTCATGATCTCACAGTTCGTGGGTTCAAGCCCCGCATCGGGCTCTGTGCTGACAGCTCAGAGCCTGGAGCCTGTTTCAGATTCTGTGTCTCCCTCTCTCTCTGACCCTCCCCTGTTCATACTCTCTCTCTCAGAAGTAAATAAAAAAAAAAAAGAAAGCAAGAAAAAAGAAAGACAACAACTCCAGCTATCCATAGAGAAACTGGCTGGAGTTTAAACACAAGACCTTTCTTGGGGGCCCTCTCAGCACCACCAGCACATCCCGGGGTCACCTCTGCAATGAACTTCCTGGCTCGGATCCTTATCCTGGACCCGGTGTGCTGGGGACCCCGAGGCCAGTGCCCCTCCTCGCTGGCAAGCACACGGCCTCCGGGGGCTGGGGTGGGAGACGCAGAGCGGCTTGGAGGCTGAGGGCGGGTTGGCGAGCCCCTGGGGGGAGGGGACGGTGCTCACCTGGATGCGCCTGCCCAGGAGACGCTCACTGAGTACGCGGAGGGAGACGCGCTTGCAGCCCTGCAGGCCCGCCTCTCGCCACAGCAGCCTGTCCGTGGATGTGTCGTAGACCAAGTAGTTGTTCATGTTCTCCTTCAGCGCCTTGAAGTCATGCTTCAGGTCATGGCCCACCACCAGCTTGCCCTTCAGGAGTGACAGTATCTGGTCGGGAAGACACACATGCTTTCCTCGTGGTACCGGAGGGAGGCAGCCCCTCCTTGATGGCTGTGTGGCTCTGAGCCAGTTGTCTTCCCTCTCTGGGCCTCAGCCCTATTGTGTGGAGAGCGAGGAGTCTAGACCAGGCCCCTCCTCGCACACAGTAGCTCAGTTCCGTGCTGAAGGCGCATGCAGACTTCCCTCCCCTTATAATGAGGGTGGCACCTACTGGCCACGCCCCGTGTGCCAGGCACTCATCTAAGTATGTCACCTATGTCATTTAACTCTGTCAACGAGCCTACTGTGACAGGCAGATGAATGACCTCCCAAAGGTGCCCACGCCCTAACCCCCAGAATCTTCGACTACATTACAAGGCAGAGAGAAGTTAAAGTTGCAGATGGGCTTTAGGTTGAACGATGACCTCAAAGGGAGATTATCTGGGTTACCCACGCGGGCCCACGCGAATCTTAAGGGTCCTTCCACGTGGAGGTCTGTGATTTGCCCTGAGAACCTGATCTCCGGCTGCTGGCCTTGAAGGAAGCCCTGCTTCAAGGAAAATGGGCTTGGAGAAGCTGGAAAAGGCAAGGAGCTGTACTCTCCCACAGAGCTCCCAGAAAGTTCCAGAAAGCAACGCAGCCCTCCCCACACCTCAATTGCAGCCTTTGAGGCCCGGGTCAGACTGTGGAGCCGTGGAATTGAGGGATAACACATTCATGCGGCTTTGAACCACTAAGCCTGTGGTTTTGTGACAGCAGCTGCAGAAAGTTAATGCAGCCCATATTTAACTTAAATTCTGCAAATGAAAAAAAAAAAAAAAGCACGAAGAAAGTGAAATGATTTGCCCCAGGTTACTCTGGTGATGTTAAAGCGAGCATTCGGATTCAACGTCTGCTCTCTCGAAAGATGGAACTTGGGGCCCCTGAGTGGCTCAGTCGGTTAGCATCCGACTTTGGCTCAGGTCATGATCTCATCGCTCGTGGGTCCGAGCCCTATGTTGGGCTCTGTGCTGACAGCTCAGAGCCTGGAGCCTGCTTTGGATTCTGTGTCTCCCTCTCTCTCTAACCCTCCCCCACTCACACTTTCTCTCTCTCTCAAAATGAATAAATGTTTAAAAAATTAAAAAAAAAAAAAGATGGAACTCAACCGAAATGAATATGGGCCAGCCTGCGTGACTTCTGACTTCTCCGAAGGCCAAGTTTCCCAGTGGCCCTGAGCTGCCCCGAAGCCGCCATGCTGCAGGGCCCACTGGAGGCTGAGAGCAGAGTCTGAGGGGCCCCGGTGCCAGCCACGGGCTGGGTGGGCAGGCCAAGCTTCCGAGGGTTCCAGCCCGGGCCTGTAGGATGCCTCTGCCTCAGCCGGACAGCCGTCCCCGGCCCCCAAGCCCTGGCCAGACTGCAGATGCAGGAGAAAAGTAAACGTTGACACTGACATTGTTTGAACCACCATGTTCAGAGGCGATTTCCTAAGCACCACTGGGTAACTGGGGCGGCCACACAGCTGGTTGGCAACAGAGCCAGGCTCAGAGCTGGCAGGCTGCCTGCTCCGGGCATCCACCAGCCCCCCAGGGCCGAGCTTCGGGGAGCGACCCCTAAAGTACCCAAGCCTCCCATCTTGACTTCTCCACTTCTCTCCCATGGTGGCCGTGGAAACAGCTTTCTACCTCGGCCACGCAGGCCGCTCCCCCTTCTTCACCTTGGCTGCCACTGGAGAAGGATGGAGGGGGGATCTTGGGCGGAGCCGTGTCGGGCCCCAGCTGGAGGGGCAGCTTGGGGGCTCAGGCCCCCCTGTGGAAAGCTCTCCCCCAGCTTCTGCCCTGCCTTCTGTGCCTGGGGAAGGAGCCTTGCATGTGGCTCACACCCTCCCATGCCCTGCTTCTGTTTCTAGTGGCCTTTGAGACACCATGTGGGACATTGGTACACTCTCCCTGGAGACCACAGGATCATTGTGGCCACTGCAGAAGAGGAAGCCAAGGCTCAGGGAGATGCGGTGACTTGCCCTTGGCCACAGTGGTGGAATCAGGGCTCTGCCCGTCTACCATCAACAGGCAATGTCACCGCACCCCGTTTACCCTGTGGTTTTGTCGGGGCCCACACTCAGCTTGGGGCCGGGGAAGCTCACTGAGGGACGGACCGTGCTGCTTCTAGTGCGTGCTTGGGGTGAGGAGTCACCTGGTGGACCCAGAACTCTGGATTAGGATTCTGGACTTCACATTTCTTTTTGTTCAATGTTTATTTACTTAGAGAGAGAGCGCGCGAGAGAGTAGGGGAGGGACAGAGAGAGAGACAGAGAATTCCAAGCAAGGATGAGATCATGACCTGAGCCGAAATCATGAGTCGGATGCGAAACTCTCTGAGCATCCGGACGCCCCTGGATGGAGTCCTATGTGTGGAGGAAAGGGCACCGGCCAGCGCGCAGCAGGAGCGCACAGGGCCCTACAGGGCAGCTGTGGGTCACGCGCCTTTCCTTGCTCACATTCTCTATGTTCTCAAACAATGTGGCCTGTTTCCCCCAGCTGGGAGCTGGCATGGGCCCAGTTCATGCAAAGCCCTGAGAGACTGTCTGCCATCCCAGAAACAGCCGCCCTGGTCCCGGGCTGATGGGACAAAAGTCATTGTGAGGTGGATTCCTGGGAAATTAATCACTTCCTGATCCCAAGGTCCTGGGGCGGGAGGGGGGAGGTGGCTACATTCAGCACAGCTGGGCTCATGAGGAGACAAATAAAATGAGAGGGGTGAGGGGCACCTGGGTGGCTCAGTCAGTTAAGCGTCTGACTTCGGCTAAGGTCATGATCTCACGGTTCGTGAGTTCGAGCCCCGCGTCGGGCTCTCTGCTGACAGCTCAGAGCCTGGAGCCTGCTTTGGATTCTGTATCTCCCTCTCTCTCTGCCCCTTCCCCACTCATGCTTTGTCTCTCTTCCTCTCTCAAAAATAAACATTAAAAAAAAAAAGAGGGGTGAACAAGCAGAAGGAATCAGGAAAAAAAAAAGAAAGAAAGAAATGAATCTATTTAGCAGAGAGATATGAGCAACGTCTCAGGCCAAAACCACGCCGGGCACTGGGCGCTGGACAGGGAGAGACTGCTAGGACTCGCTGTGTGCTCTCAGGAGGTCACAGACCATCTCTGGGCTTCGGCTTCCCCATTCGTAAGAAAGGCCTGGACAGGTGAGGCTCCAGAGGCCCATTAGCAGCCAGGGCTCCCCCGACTTTCTGAGCCAGGGCTGGGGGTGGGGGGAGTGGGGGGCCTGCCGGAGCCCAGGGAGGGGGACAGGTGGCAGGGGGACCTCAGGTCCTGTGTGACCTGCGGGACCTGCCCTGACCCAGGAGGCGGGTGTATCAAACACAGGGGGTGGAGACTCGATTCCCAGAAGGAATGAGCGGGGAGGAGGGACAGTCACCTAGCTGCACTCGCAGCACCCAGCCAGGTACTTTCCTCTCCGCACCCGCCCAAGGACATCTCAACCCAGGGATTCTGATCTCCAAGTCACAGAAGAGGGGCCGGGGTCAGAGAGGCTAAGAGGCTGGCCCGGGTGACAGGGCTGGTGACCTGAGAGCTGCAGTGAGCTGGCCGGACCTGTCTGACCCCATCACTAGCATTATAGTTGTTATTACCACCTGCTGGGCACCTGCCCCAGAGTCCTCAGTGGCAGCCCGGAGAGCCACGCTGGGCCCGCGTCAGCGCTCAGACGTCCTGGACCCGGGGACGGGATTATCACACCATCTTACCAACAGGGAAGGGGGGATGCAGAGGGGCATGTCCCCATGTCACACGGCAGAGAGCACCAGGGCCAGTGTCCCGTGTCTGCCTGGAGGGTCCTTCTAGAGCATTTCCACTCTCGTTCCAAGTATTCCCCGGATGTGCCCAGTCGGAAAAATCACCTGGGGCCCTTGTGAAAAATCCAGAGGGCCAGGCCTTCCTGTCATCTTCAAGAGTAGCCTCAGTCTCCCTTTCCTCCTGTCCCTTGACCCCAGCTTGGTCCCTGCACCCCCCTAAGCTGCTGATGCAGCTTCACCTGGATGGTGAAGTCCTCCTCCTCCCTCTGGCCAAGGCCCAGGGACGCCTGCGCAGGGGCGAGGCCCAGCAGGAGGCGCTTGGCCCAGTGACTCCTTGTTCACAGGCCACCGTGGCCTCTCTTCTGTCTGCAGTTCCCTCCTAAGCCAGGATGCTTCCTGGGACTCAGCTGTTTTGTTTGCCAACGAAAAATGTGATTATCCCTCCCTAAGCCCAGTGAGAGGGTAGATGCGACTCAGTGTACTGGGTTAACGTGAAAGGAGCATTAACTTACCAAAATAAGTTACACGCTCTTAAAAATTACTATTAGGGAAAACGAAACAAAACAAACAGCATTACACTGGGTGAGAGCCCTGAATCCGAACACTGAGTTGCATCACAGCTTCCTGTGTGTCCTTAAGCAAGGCACTGCCCCTCTCTGGACCTCAGTCTCCTCATGGGCCCTCTCCTGAGCTGACTGCCTGATTTGTGGTGCTCTGTAGGCCGGTTTCTCAACTTCCGCACTATCAGTACTTCTTTGGTGTGTGTGTGGCTGGGGGAGGGGCCGTCCTGTGCATTAGAGGATGTTTGGCATGGGGCGCCTGGGTGGCTTAGTCGGTTAAGCGTCCGACTTCGGTTCAGGTCATGATCTCGCGGTTCGTGGGTTCGAGCCCCGCATCGGGCCCTGTGCTGACTGCCAGCTCAGAGCCTGGAGCCTGTTTCAGAGTCTGTGTCTCCCTCTCTCTCTGACCCTCCCCTGCTCACGCTGTCTCTCTCTGTCTCTCCTAGAAATAAATAAAAATATTAAAAAGAAAAAAAGAAAAAAAATAGAGGATGTTTGGCACTATCCCTGGCCTCTACCCCCGGGATGTCAGTAGCAGGCCCCTGCCCCACTTATGGCGACCAGAAATGTCTCAGATTGTGCTAAATGTCTCTTGGGGGGCAAAACCCACTCCACATTGAGAACCGCTGCTCTAGATGACAGTCAGACCTGGAGATTGGGGAAGATAACAAGCAATTACGTTCCACTATAAAAGTAATGTAGCCGGACACCCAGGTGGCCCAGTCAGTTGAGCATCCGACTTTGGCTCAGGTCATGATCTTGCGGTTCAGGAGTTCAAGCTCCACTTAGGGGCACCTGGGTGGCTCAGTCGGTTAAGCTTCTGACTTTGGCTCAGGTCATGATCTCACGGTTCGTGAGTTCGAGCCCCGTGTCAGGCTTCGTGCTGACAGCTCGGAGCCTGGAGTCTGCTTCAGATTCTGAGTTCAAGCTCCACTCTGGGCTCTGTGCTGTCAGCAAAGAGCCCATTTCTGACCCTCATCCCTCTCTCTCTCTGCCCCTCTCCTCCACTTGCGCTCTCTCAGAAATAAACATTTTTAAAAAGTAATGTAATCATATTACAAAAAATGAGAATAAAAAACAGAGAAGGGGGAGCCCGTGCACAGTCCCAGTGCCCTATGGCAGCAACCCTGTAGGGTGGGCTGTGGGGGGCTTCGTGGCTACCGTGGGCCAGTCTGTGGCTCGCCACTAGCGGGGCACGCTCACCACTCCTGTGGGGGGAAGAGACAGGCTGGTGAGCAGTCTCTGAAAGTTGCCCTTCTGAGGCCAAGGCCTGGCGAGCCGTAGGCTCACCTGAGACATGTCACTCAGCCCTGGAGGCGCAGATGGGCATCTTCCCTTTGGGAGCTTCCCAGGGCATCCCGGGGCCCGCAAGCCGGTCAGTCTCTGTCTTTGGGATTCGAACATTCCGGGTGACTGAGTGGGATCACGCTGCCTCTGTGCCCTGGTTCATGGAAACAAATGAACCGCTGCCTTGTGCACACACGTGCGGTGCCTGGCACTGTCCCATGCACGTACTGGACCCTTAGCCTTCACTGAGCGTGTGCACGTGTGGATCGGGGGAACTGAACATCCCAGAGCAAGCTCTGGAGCCAGAATTTGAGTCTCCGCTCTACCCCTTCCTTGGACCGTTTGCTCAGCTGATCTGAGTCAAGCCTGGCAAGTTTCTCTGGCAGCAGAGGTGGGGAGGCAGCCAGCAGGCATCCCTCCGTAGCAAGCAGAAAATGAGGGCCAGGATCCAAGGCTGTGGTTCTCAGGGGAAGTCAGACAGGGGACTGAGACATACAGTCTGCGCATCTGTATCTGTCACACTGTTAGTGACCATCACAGGGGCCGGGCACTGTGCTCAGGGCGATGGGCCGTGTCACTGCATCCGACCTACATGAGGCCAGGGAGGAGGTGTTAACCCTCCCGGGCGCTGATGAGGAAACAGTCTCAGAAAGGTTCGATAACTCGCCGAAGGTCGCACACACCCAGCGAGTGATGGGGCAGGAACTATAAACCCCAGGTGGGCTTCAAAGATCTGCCTGGTCCGTACATTCCTGGCTCACTCCTTTTTATTTTTTATTTTTTTAATATTTTATTTATTTTTGAGAGAGATAGAGACAGCATGAGCCGGGGAGGGTCAGAGAGAGAGGGAGACACGGAATCCAAAGACAGGCTCTATGCTCTGAGCTGTCAGCACAGAGCCCGATGCGGGGCTCGAACCCACGAACCGTGAGATCATGACCTGAGCCGAAGTCAGACGCTTAACCGACTGAGCCACCCAGGCGACCCCTGGCTCACTCCTTAAATGGCTGTCCAGCACCCGCTCTGGACAGGGCCCCCAGTTACATTTGTGGAATGCGGGGCCAAGGGCCATCTCCCGCTGAGAACCGAGGCATTCAGCGCTGGAGCCGGAGGAGGAGGACCTCCACATCCTGACTCCCAGGCGGGCGCTCAAGGGCATGCAGGGACCTGGCTGCACGTCCAGGCCGGGAGAATCGAGAAGCACTTCTCTGCTGCCTCCCCACCGCTCCCCTACCCCCGTGCCCCTGCTCTGGGCTTCCCTGCCCTTTTTGCCACTCTGGCAGCGAGGGGGTGGGGGGCTGGCAGGGACAAGGAGGAAGGTCAGAGACATGCCATCCAGCTGATCGCTCAGTGGGGATCTGAGGGTGGGGGGCTCCTGCAGGGTCCCTGGGCCTCCCGTTGACACCTGAATGGCCAACTCACCTCGCGTTGACCTCCCCTACTTAACGACTCCCCTTTGGGTGCCTCTGTCCTAACATTTTTTTCTTCCTGGTCCCCTGACTGCTGATGCCTCCCCAGGGGCTCTGATTCACCACCCTATTGCTGTCTTTTTCCTTACTACCATCTACCCTCCACAGCACCCCCATTCTAGCCTTCTTGAAACTGGATTTGATCCTGCCATGCTCTTGCTCAAGAATCTTCCATGGCTGTCTGGGGTCCACTGTGTTGCAGACACAGACTCTTCCCACCCCTTGTAAATACCACCAGCCTCATGGAGTCTTTCCAGAGCTGCCCTGATGTACTGCACTCCCTGCCTAGGGCTTCCTAGCTTCCTCTTATGCCTACAGAACAGTGCCATCCAGTAGACATATAACGTAAGCCCCACATATAATTTTAAACCATCTAATAGCCATATTTTAAAAGGTGAAATTAGGGGCACCTGGGTGGCTTAGTCAGTTGAGCGTCCGACTTCGGCTCAGGTCATGATCTCACGGTTCGTGGGTTCGAGCCCCGCGTCGGGCTCTGTGCTGACAGCCAGCTCAGAGCCTGGAGCCTGTTTCAGATTCTGTGTCTCCCTCTCTCTCTGACCCTCCTCTGCTCACTCTGTCTCTCTCTCTCTCTCAGAAATAAATAAAACATTAAAAAAAATAAAAAGGTGAAATTTGCTTTAATAGGTTTTATTTAACCTAATATTCCAACATATAATCGATATAAAAATTATGAGGTATTTTATGATTTTTTTTTTAAATACAAATCTTGGAAATCCTGCATGCATTTTACCCTTCAGCACATCACGGTTCAGACAAGCCACTTTTCGGGCGCTCACGGCCACATGGGGCTGGCAACCCCCTACTGGACACACAGCCCTAGAGTTCTGAGCCTGGGTTCTGAGTCCTGACCACATCTAGTTATCTGAAACCTTGTGAGTCACTTAGGAGTCACTTAGTCTTAGTGACTCCTTAGTCTGTTGAATTGTGTCCCCCCCCCCCCCCCCCCCCCCCCCCCCCCCCCCGCCAACATTTCCTATGTTGAAATCCTAACCACCAGTAGCTCAATATGTGACTTATTTGGAAACAGGGTCATTGCAAATGTAAGTAGGGAGGTCATCAGGGTGGGCCCTAATGCAATACAGGTGGTGTCTGCATAAACGGGAAGTGGGGACACAAAACACGCACACAAGGTGATCGCTGTTCGAACAGGAAGGCAGAGATTGGGGTGATGCTTCTAGAAGCCAAGAAACATAGAAGACTGTCAGCAGACCCCCAGGAGCTGGGAGAGAGACAGAGACTGGACTCTCCACACCCACCCCCTTCAACCCCCCCACTCCCCTCCCCCCTCCCCGGCCCCCCAGCCTCAAAAGAAACCAACTCTGCTACCACCTTGGGCTCAGACTTCCTGCCTCCAGGACTCTGGAACAATACGTTTCTGTTGTTCGAGCCCTGCGGCCCGTGCTACTCTCTGCTATGGTGCCTGAGCAAATGAATACACTTAGTTCAAGCAGGCCTCAGTTTCCCCATCTGCAGTATGGGGATCACAGATGCTCGTAATAGCTAACATTTTGGGAATCTTCATATAAAAAGGCACTCTCTCTAGGTGCTTTCTCAAGCCTCACAAGAATCCTATGAGGTCACTACTATTATCGTACCCAGTTTCTTTTCCAGGTGGGGGAAACTGGGTGCAGAGAGGCCGCCCAAGTACCTTGCCCAGGATGCTGTTAAGTAACCAGGATTCAAAACTGGCCCCTCTTAACTGTGGGTTACCAGCTCCGGGGAGCCCTCGGCAGGCTGATCTGGGAGGCGTGAGTGAGCCCGGCCAGTGCTCAGGATGCATCCAGCGAGTAGCCAGAGCTCAGTAAACCATAGCCACCGGCGTGGGTTCATCTACAGCACAGGGAGCCCGGCCCACATGCTGTGTGTAGAGTGGGGACGCCAGTCCTCTCTGTTCTTTGGGGAGGGACTTCCCCGAGCCCCGGCAGCCTAGATACTGATGAGTTCACTCTCCCTTCCAAACTTTCCCAGAAGTGACTAAAGCAGGTGCTAGAGTTTGCTTTCCGTCTGGTGGTTCAGAGAAACAGAAACAGAAAGTGGAAACTGAAAAAGTTATCACAACGAGGTGTGGCAGGAGGGTGGGAAATCCTGGGGCCACACGCTGACCTTGAGCTGAGGGGAAGGCCTGGCTGTGCCATCTAGGAACAAGCTCCCGGAGCCAGGGAGGGGAGAGGAGAGGGGAGCTCTGGCCTGTTCTTCAAGACCCGGAGCCCCACTACCGAGGGCCCGGCCAGCGAGGGCCTCATTTTCCTCATTTCCTCACAGGGCTCCCCAGAGGCAGCTCAAGGTAGAGCAAAGAATCACACTGTGGGGGGCATCGGGGGTCCCCAGCTCCCCCCATCACAAGACCAGCAAGGCGGACTCGACGCCCCGAAGGCTGTTCCCAGATGTGAGTCTTAGGTTGTTTCCTGCTCAGGGACGTGAAGGAGACACCACAGGCCTCTCCCTGCCCTAGTGACGCAGACGCGGATGGGGAGTCGATCTTAACTAGGGTCACAGGTCGCAGAGCTGACACCTGGGTGAGCTGCCAGGAAGTGTGTGTGCGGAGGATGTGCAGGCAGCCTCAGTTTCCCCACTTCCCCCCGTGAGCCCCGGCCTGGCTGGCGCGCTGCCCTCCTCCACTCACCTCCAGCCTGGCCACGGCGAATGGCGTGGCCTCCTCCATGTGCCGAGGAGTGACCCCACTGACCAGGGTCCTGTAGTCCGTGATCTCCCCCTCGGGCCGGATGAACTTGTCGTAGAGCAAGGTGCCGTGGAGGTCCACGAGACTGCAGCGAGCTAAGCCGCTCTCCCGGCACGGCCCCAGCCCCACCATCTCGCAGTCCATGGCCACCACCTCGGTTGTGCCTGCCATGTGTCACCAGGACCCCCGGACGTGCTGGAGAGGGGAGGCGGGAGGGGTGTCACTCAAGGGCCGACCGAGGCCACCACCCAGCCAGCCTGTCCCCTCTGCCCTGTTTGTCATGAATGCCATCTGGCAACAGGGGAAGCTGGCCCCTAGCCACCCCTCCCGGCTTCCTCAGCCCGGAGGTCCCAGGGCCTCTGGTCAGGCCCAGCAGCCTCAGGACCGCCAGGCCCCCTCCCAGCTAGCTGCTCCCCTGGGGAGGCGCCTTGGCCGCGCCGCCCCAGCCCCCCTCACCTGTCCGCCTCTGGTGCCCTCGCCTCACGTCTGCCTCTCTGGTGCCACTTCTCTACTCCTGCACTTGCTCTTAGCTGTGACTCATCTCTGACTTCAAGCCGGGAATCCTGACTCTTTCAGTTTCTGGTTTGTTATCAGGCGAAGTCAGGGGCGGGAGGCCGGGCCCGTGGGCAGGGCTGTTCCATCTCCTCGGGCTGCTGGCAGGTGGGGGGCCCAGGGGCCTGAGTCACCGCAGACAAAGCCGGCGGGCTCTATGTCCCCACGTCTCGCCTTTGCCCCTGCCCCTCCCCCCCTCCAACCACACAGTTAAGTGCTTAGTAGATCCCCTCCTCAGTTGATGCGGCTGACGTGCATGAAGCAGATTGCCACATCTTCCTCTCCTTTCTCACCCTCCGCCTGCCTGTAGAATAAACATCTCCAGGAGTGGAGCCCAGGGAGTGTCCACAGCTTCCGGGACCACTACCAGCCTGGCACTCCGTGAGGTCTCTCATGGGAGCAGGGGGAGCTGGCTCCTGGGACACTGAGGCTGCTCACAGGAAGGGCATGGAAGATTGGGGTGCGAGTAGGGCTAGCCTCACCTCCCCGACCCAGGGAAGGCAAGGAGGGAGCCCCTAGAGCCTCCAGTGCCCCGGGGGTGCCTCAGACACGGCCATCCGCCTGCCCTCAATGGGCTCTGCCTCTAGCTGGGCTGACACTATTGAAGGACAAGGAAAAAAAAGCCTGGAAGGTGCCCCTCCCCCTCCCCCGGGGCCATACTTCCTAGGGGCTACCGGCTCCCAGGTCTTACAACAGTGTCTGACCCAGAGAGAGCACTCGGCGTTTATTGAATAGATGAATGAGTTACAGTTACAGCCAGGACAGAAGCAGAACCAGATTTCATGGAAGTTTCAAGGAAGTCGTCCCCGTATTCTGCGGTGCGACTCCTGCCTCCTACCCTAGGTCGGCGCGAAGTCAGCTTTGAGCAGTGGGATCTGATTTCCCCCAGATGTCTCCACGATTTGTGTGTTGGAAAGGAATTTCCCCGGGTCTCTGGTGTTTTCGCCGGGTGACGTGTGACTGTCACAGCCCTCAAAAAGAAAAGCAAGGACCGAAGTATGTCTAAACGATAAGGCATTGCTCGCGCTTGCTGTTCAATTGGTTTGACTTGCAGATAGAAGAGATTATGTTTTGGTTCCCATCCTGAATGAGCAACTTTTGCTTGAATTCAGACTTGTTTGGGGACTTTGTGTTTCTCAAGTGCATAAAGGAGTGCTCGCTTCGGCAGCACATATACTCAAGTGCATAAAGGATTGCTACCCCGTTTTAGGGAGAAGATGAAGCGAAATGGGTTACCTTATGTGATTGTGCATTGAAAAAGTAACCCCCTAAAGGTCCAATGGGACGTTTCTGCTTCTTCAAGGTCCATAGGACCCTGCCTGCGCACCTCACCCCTTCACCCTGCTGCCCCCTCAGGTCTCAGAACGTCCACCCACCATCCTGTTCTTTTCCCTCCCCCCCCCCCCATCCTAGACTGGAGCCTGCTCCGCGCCTCCCCTGAGCCCCGGCCCCACCTGCACATCAGCTCCAGGATCTTCCTGCCTCCCTGTTCATGCAGTGAGGGCTCCATTCCGTCCTTCAACTCCTAACGGATGTAGTTTCCCCAAACCTACTGTCTCGTACTAGGTGTGACAGCACTTTCCTGGAGAACTTACAGTGATTTCCTGTTGTCCAGAAAAAAAAGCAGCAAGCCTCCACTCCCCTGCAGTTTCCAAGAGCCTCCGTCACCTGTTCCACCGGCCATCGCACCGCTGCTTCAACCTAAATCCGAGGCCTCTGCGTACCCAGTAGCCACTCTCCCCGGCCCTCCCAGGTCCTTCGGTTCTGGGCCCGGGATGGAGGGGGAGGGGCGCAAGATCAGGTGTCTGCCTTCCATCCTGCTGCGAAGGCCAGCCCCTCTGCACCCCTTCTCACCTCCTTCCACTGCACTGGCTTTCTCTCCTCCCCAGGGCCAGGGCACGTGCTGTCCCACTCGGAAAGTTCTGCCACCAGGTTATCTTATCCCTTTGCTCTCTCTCCCTCGGGCACTGTCCCTCCAATCCCTTCTGGGGTTTCTCTACAGGAATAGTTAGCACCCTCTGAAATCCCGTGTATTTTACTCACTCCTTTACTCCTCCCGCTCCACTTGTTTGCTTTGCAGCAGCCCCCCACCCCCACCCCTCCACACCCAGAGCCCTGCCTGAGTCATGTTGCATTTCTTCCCAAGGCATTGTGTGCTCTGAGGTCAGACACAGGCCCTGCTGAGAGCCTAGGGGAGAAATCTCTGGCCCCGGCCAGGGGGATGGGCCGGGAGCGGGAGGGGGGGGGGGGAGCTCAGAGGGGAGGCTTCCTGGGTTTAACTGGTGTCACCCATCGGCCAGACGAAAGGCCGAAAATCTCAGGTCAAGTGACAGCAGCAAAGCGACTCACTCGGGGCAAACCTCACAACCTTACAAGGCACACATGCTGTGTGCCCACCTGTGACTCAACAAGGTAGCGAGGCTGCCACTGGGTGGCACCAAGCACAGGCCACAGGCTGAGCGCGGGATTCCTAAGGGTGCGTAGGACACCACTCCCTACAGGCGCCCCGCCCTCTGAATCCCTGTCCGTCCGTCTCAGCCGGCATGTGCTCCAAACTGCGCCTGTGTGAGTTTCTAAATTCTGTGTGGCAGGTACGAACATCTCCGTCAAAGGGCAGCAATTTGATGTGGTTGCATTTAATGCATGTAAAATGGCAAATGGAACACGCTTTTAAAAAGAAACAGAGGGCGCCTGGGTGGTTCAGTCAGTTGAGTGTCCAACGCTTGATTTCGGCTCAGGTCATGATCCCAGGGTCATGGGATGGAGCCCCAAGTTGTGCTCCGTGCTGAACATGGAGCCTGCTTGAGGTTCGCTTTCCCTTGGCCCCTGCCCTGCTTACACGTGTGCCCTAACACTAAAAAAAGATGATAGATAGATAGATAGACAGATAGATAGATATAGACAGACAGACGGACAAATAAAAATAGGCGCACCTGGGTGGCTCAGTCTGTTTAGCATCTGACTTTGGCTCAGGTCATGATCTCATGGTTTGTGAGTTCGAGCCCCACATCAGGCTGGCTGCTTTCAGCGCAGAGCCCACTCTGGATCCTCTGTCCCTCTCCCACTCACTCTCTCTCTCTCAAAAATAAACATTTTAAAATAAATCGTTATCCATTTACCCTGCTCCCTCACTAGTGCTCTCTCTCCAAAATAAAATTTAAAAACTTTTTTAAAGACACAAAAAGTGAGGGGCGCCTGGGTGGCTCAGTCTGTTAAGCATCTGACTTTGGCTCAGGTCATGATCTCATGGTTCGTGAGTTCAAGACCCGCGTAAGGCTCTGTGCTGACAGCTCAGAGCCTGAAGCCTGCTTCGGATTCTGTGTCTCCCTCTCTCTCTCTGACCCTCCCCTACTCACGCTGTCTCTCTCTCTCAGAAAAAAAAAATTAAGAAAACAAAACAAAAACATAAATTAAAAAAATTCATAGAAACAAAAGGCAGAATGGCAGTTCCCAGGAGCTGGGGGTGGGAAGGAATGGGGAATTAAGTGTGGAATGAGCAATTTCAGTTTTGCAAGATGAAAAAACTCTGGAGGTTGTCTTACAATGTAAATACCCTTAACACCACTGAACCGTATACCTAAAAATGGTCAAGACGGTGAATTTTATGTTAGGTGCATTTTATCACAATCAGAACCAAAAATTATCTTTAAAAAGTGAGTACATAGCTTCAGCAGAAACAAATTAAACTTTATGCTCTACAATAGGGCAGTTATAAAATTTTTAAAAATAGGGGTACCTGGGGGTCTCAGTCAGTGAAGCGTCCGACTCTTGATTTTGGCTCAGGTCATCATCTCACAGTTCATGAGATCAAGCCCCACATCGGGCTCTGCCCTGACAGCATGGAACCTGCTTGGAGTTCTAATTCTGTCCCTCCCTCTCTGACCCTCCCCAGCTCATGCTCTCTCTCTCAAAATAAGCTTAAAAATATATTTTTAAATAAACTATATAAATTGTGTCCCTTTAGAATGTTCTTGCAAAGCGTCACCTTGAAAGCACCCACCTCAAATGCCAAAGCACTGGCATGACTTGGTGCTCCCATACCTCCCTGGCTCTCCGCCAAGCCGCCCCCCACCCCAGGTGGGGAATTCAGAAAAGGCCACTTCATCCACGTTTCTAATTGAGTTTTATTCCAGAACAGATGGTTTTACAACAAAGCTGATCTTAAAACCAGTATATTTTCCCTGCTGGTAACAGCGCCATCTTCCTTCAAGCCACAGCAGAGTCCCGAAGCTGCAGCCCCAGCTGGGCGTGTGGCGCCAGCTGCAGATGTTAAGGACCCAGAACAGAGCCCTGGCGCCAGAGCAGCAGAGGTGAGCGCCCCAGCCAGACCCCCACTCTGCGGGCGGGGAGGGAGCTGGTAACAGACGAGTTCGAAGTAGTGTGGTCTCAGCAGCGTCCCTCAGCTCTCGGCCCTGCTGCTTGGCCAGAGTGACCTAAACACCATCGTCATCCCCTGCACGCAGAGTGTACACGGGTCACCCGGCCGCAGGGAGAACCCCGCACTGAACGAAGCAAGGGGCACGTGCAGGTGCGACCCAGAAGACGCCGACACTGACCCCCGAAGAAACAACAGCAGCTCCCACTGACCTCAGCTTGCAAACTGCCAGGCCCCTAGCATCCCCCCATGACAACCCCGTGAGGTAGATTATATCATCATCCCCATTTTATGGACAAGGAAACGGGCTCAAGACTGAGGTCACAGACTTACGGTCTCAAAGCTATTAAGTGGCAAGCCAAGATGGGCCTCAAAGGTCTGTGTGGACCAGAGTTCTTGGCTCGCCTCGATACCCCAAATTAGAAGACAAGGAAAGAAAGGTAGAACATGAAATCTTGACAAAGTATTTCTAGAAGTTTAGAGAACACCCAGTGACCACATGACTGTGGGTCGAAGTGCCCGAGGGACCTCAGCCCGGGTGCGGATGCACTGCCCGGCCCTAGCCCCCCAGTGCACGCCCACTCTGCTCCCTGCACACTGCTGACCTTGCTCTCGATAACTCCAGGTCCCTCGGGTGCGATTCTGCACAGGGGCCCCAGAACTCAAGCTGCTCTCTTGTTCCTCAGGCTTGTGCTTAAGGGAGTCTAGTGCGGGGGCTGGCGGGAGGAGTGCCTGATTTGGGTCAAAATTAATACGCCACACTCTCCACCGAAGCTTATCGGCTTTCCCCCTGTCACCAGTGCCTGGTGACTTCCGGTGCCACCACCCCCTGAGCCTGAGGGCCCTGCCTCGCCATCCGAGCCTCGCACAGGGTCCCCGCTACGGCTACAGCCAGAGCTCCGGTCCAGAGAGAGAGCGAAGGGGGATCCCATAGAGTGGCCTTAACTCTACAGATTCAGGGCACACTCATTCTGAAGCTGACGATGCCTGTGGACGAAGGGCAGGGGACAAGAGAAGGGGGGTTTACCAGGTCGCTGAGCTAACACCCCAAGGAGGAGACATCACCCCTGTAGACAGCACGGCATGGGGGTGGGGCAGGCAGTGACGGCTGGGGCCTCTGCGGCACCCTCCCTCCTCGGGCTGGGTCCTCCTCACACGCCCAGCTGACATGTCCACGGTGTCCAGGAAGCACCACTGGCAACCGCAGGGGTGGGGAGGAAGTGCCCTGGGGAGGGGGGCACTGTGCTGGGGGCAGAGGGACCCGAGAGGACTGATGGTCCCATGCCCGGGGCTGGCGGCCGGCGGGCAGATCCTGCCCCGCCTGGGATGCGGTGCCCGGGGCCTCACTCCCTTCTGTCTGGCGCGGGCGCCGTCCCTCCGCCGGTGCCCTGGGCCGGGTCCTCCAGCCAGTACCGGTCCTCCATGAACTGCTCCACGTCCGTGCTGCTGTCAGGCTCTCGGTCGTCCGGGCAGCCCGGCGGGCTGCTGGCCTCCCGCTGCTCCCACTGCACCTCGACCAGCCGGTAGAGCTCCATGGCCGTCACGGCGTCTTCCACCGACGAGTGGCCATGCCGGCCGGCCTGCAGACAAGAGCCCCGGTCACCGCCCGCGGCCCGATCGCGGAGGACCAGAGTGCTGGGCGCGGCTGGGGATAGGGCGGGGGGCGAGGGTGCTACTCATGCAGAACAGCCCGGTCGCCCCACGTACCGCACGCCCCTGGGCCTCTCTGAGCCCACGTCCTCAGAACGACACACGTAAAGACCCACGACTTCAACGAGCACGTTGGAGTCACGCGGAGGGGGGTGGGGGTGAGAGTTACTGGCTGCCCTCGAGGAAGGCTCCATCCAGCTCTCCAGCCGCCGCCATGGGGTCCCGGACACAGGCAGGGGGACAGAGCCAGGAGGTGGGCGGGGGGTGGGTCTGGAAGACAGCAGCCCGCCAGAGCTGGGACGCTGGGGAAGAAGGACGGTGGGGAAAGCACCCGGGGCTGTCTGTACGCGTGAGATCCTGGGTCCCCGTCCAGGAGGAAAGGGGACCCAAACCTGGCCACGTGGCCTCGACTGGGGCCCCTGTTTGCTCCGCCGGTTGCTCCCGCGCCACACCCAGGTCTCTCGCTCCCGCCACCTGCTCCCGCCACCTGCTTGCGGGCCACGCACCTGTATCTTCTTGTGTAGCAGCTGCAGGGCCAGGTCCTTGAGAGAGACCCGGGTGCGGGTGTGGAGGCCCGGCCGCTGGAGCAGGTTCGGCACATAGGTGGTGTCCCGGGTCTGGCTCCGAGGGTGGACGTACTTGAGGGCCTGGAAGTCATTGTGTAGCGCGTGCCCCACCACCACCTTGCCTTTCAGAAGCTTGAGGATCTGTGAGCGGAGAAAGGAGGCAGGAAGGCCCCTTGGTCATGCTGCCAGCCTCACCGCCCACGCCTGGAACCCGCCAAGGGGTGGCAGCATGGGGGGAGGGGAGGGGCCTCGAGCTCCCGTCGGCCCAGCAGCCTCCAGTGGGAACCCAGGCCCTCCCAGTTACTACAACTTCAGCTCTGTCCTGGGTACAGGTGCTCCCCCCCAGGCAGTTTGGAGCATTAACGGAGGGCACGAGGGGGCACATCTTCTAGTCACTCTATACCAGTGACCCTTTCCTGCTGGCACAGGCTCTTGCCTCCCAGCCCAGAAGATGTCACCGCCCTCCCCCACCCCACCCAGCTCCCGTGCCAGCTGCCCTCATCCGGTCCGGGCTCACAGGTCAGGAGGCCTCCCTCACGACTGCGCAGCCACATTAGGACCCCTGTTCTCCCCAGTGGTGGCGGGAGACTCATCACACCTTCTAGGCCCACCTCCCCCTCCAGCAGGGTCTATCCCCTCCCACACACACACAGGGGTAAGCTCAAGGTAAACACCGGGCATCACGTGTGGCCTGACTAGCGATGTTCAATGAAAGCTCAGCCGGCAGGAGGTGACCGAGAAACACCCAGCAGGTGACGCTCCCGGAACTGTGCCCGGCACTGGAGACCGCGAGCAGCAGCTCTGTCGGCGTGAGCAGACACAGCCTCTCCTCCGGACTCGGTCCCTCTGTCCCGCTGCGGTACACGACCCCTCTACCTCCTACCCGTGAACCCTGCTCTCCTGCTCGGCACTGGCCGCCCGCCCGACGTGTGCCTCCCTTCCCTGCCCTCCACCCTCCTCAGGCCCCTGGGAGGCCACGTCCAGGCCTGCAAATCCCCGCAGGCCTGTGCGCCCAGCCCGGTCCCCACAGCCCGCCACTCCCACTGGTGACACGTGGCTTATCACTACCCCGGCTCTCATGGCAGAGGGACAGAGCCCTGTGCCGCCACACTCTGGTGCCCCCTACCACCACTCGGTGCTGGGAAGGGATCGAGCACACTTCTTACTGGCTCAGAGTCTGAGCTGACAACGAGAGGTCTTGTCTGGGGAGCCCCCCGCCGCCCAGGCCAGAGAAGCACCAAGGAATCAGAGGGTGCGGCGCAGGCCTCACTTCCTGCCGCTGCCGATTCCCAGGAAGACATCCTAGCTGGGTCATCTCCAAACCTTTCTGGAAGACGAGCTCAGGCCGTCTCTTATGCAGAAAAGGAGGACACAAAACATTAAGCCATGCTGCTGGAGTGCTCGGTTTGAAAACACAAGCTGCAACATGATGGATGTAATCAGGACGCTGCTTGAGAATAATGCAGATCCCCCTTTACTTAGGCAGGTTTTCGCCTTGGTAAACATGTAAGTGCCTGCAGAAAACTGCACCCGGCTCATCTGAGCCACGCGGGAGCCCACAGAACACACACACACCTCAAACAGCCACCAGTGAGCTCGCTCTGCCGTGTGATGGGCCACGGCCATCCACACCCGACCTTCCCACTTTCTGATTTCAAAGAACCTCTTCGCCCACTCACCGTTAACAGAAACGGCGACTTTTCTGACACCCACTTTCACAAGCAAACAGCGGGTTGTTTTCAAGGTAAAGTGCCCCCCATCGGTGTTTCTTCACCACTTACCGTGCGCAGAACTGTGCAACCATTAGTAGGTTTCTAGGTTTTAACTGGTGGGTTTCACCTTTGAGGTTTTCTGGGTGTTGTTGGGTTCCTAACCCCGTGTTCCCCGTAAGCTCTGAGGTTCTTGTCGTGCAAGTTGACACAGCATGCTGCTTTTTAGGAACACACACGAGAGCCCTCCCCCAGCCTACAAAGGCTACGAGATGAGAATCTCCACCTCATCTCCACGGAAGGATCTGGGGACAAAGACCCAGAATGCTAGCCTCCTATGGTCAAGCACATTGGGAACTCTCAGCACCTGAGCACGATCCCAACCACCACTCTCTTTTTTTCGAAGCCCTGAAAAACTAAGGAAATATGCAGAAACACTGACGCCTGAAGCTGATGGAGCCTGATGGAACCGCGGGCCTTACAAGTTCTAAACAGATACGTGATTCTTTTGCAGCGGAGAAGAAAATTAACACGGGAGCATTTTCACACCTTGCAGCTGGCAGTCTTTCCACAAACACTATCATGGGGGACAGCCCTGCGATCCTCACGTGGAGGTGGGTCAGGATTTTATGCACCCCTGTCTGTGCAGAAGGAAGCCACAGTTTAGACAAGTTAAGTAACCTCTCCCCCAAGTCGTCCGTTTCCACTGGCTAAGCAGCGGCTCACACCCAGGGCTGCCCTTACCCGGCCGTCAGCCATCGCACAAGCCCCCACCTCTGCCCTCACCTCTTTCTGGGCCACCTGGAAGGGGATGGCTGTGCGCATGTGCTGCCGAGTGATGCCGCTCCAGCGGGTACGGTAGTCCACGATGGGCATCTCTGGCCGGATGTACTTATCGTAGAGGACATCGCCATGGTAACTCACCACAGAGCAGCGGGCCAGCTCGCTCACCCGCCCTCGGGGTCCCGTGCCCACCATCTCACAGTCAATAGCCACACACTTGCTGGGCCAGGGAGCTGCAGACTCCCTGGGGGTGGGCTTTCGGCTGCATGAGGCCCCTCCGGATTCATTCCTTGGATGCTGCATCCGGCCGCCGGTGGCTCCGGTGGCCAGCAGTGCTTCCGGCCGTGGAGGCAATGGGGAGGATCCCGGCTCCGGGGGCGAGCTCAGCAGCCCCTGCCCCTGCAGCAAGGCCTTGCGAGCCATGAATCGCTGGTGCTGTCGGCTCTTCCTCTTGTGCTTTCTCCGAAGCACATCCTTGGCATTGAGGCTGGCCGGGGAAGGGCACGGGCGCTGGGCAGACACAGGGCCCTCCCGGGGCACCATCCCAATTAGCTCACCGTCGTGGGCCAGCGAAGCCTGGGAGGTGATCTGCCAGTGGGCCAGCGCTCTGCAGAAAGGACACACAAGGCAGAGGGGCTGCGTGAGAGGTGTGCTCCCCTGCCACACTGCCCCACACCCCTGTGCTCTGTCTCAGGCTCCCAGGCTGCGTCGAGCACCTTTATGAACAAGCAATGCACTCAGTCATGCACTCAGTCAACCCCACGTGCAAATCACTGTTCTAAGTGCACTAAGGAAATCACTAAATGTTCCCAACAACCCAAACAAGTGTTACTAACCTTGAAATCGTAGGCAAGAAAACTGAAGCAGAGAGACTAAGTAACCTGCGCAATTAATATGAGACAAGAACTGATATGGACCCAAAGTCCACGGCCTCAACGATCAAGCCGTAGCTTACCTCCAACAAGCGCTGGCATCAAAAATTTTTAGAAAGTGAGGGGCACCTGGGTGGCTCAGTTGGGTAAGCATACAACTTCGGCTCAGGTCATGATCTTACAGTTTGTGGGTTCGAGCCCTGCATCGGGCTCTGTGCTGACAGCTCAGGGACAGCAGCCTGCTCTGGATTCTGTCTCTCTCTCTCTCTGCCCCTCCACCATTCATACTCTCTCTCTTAAAAATAAGCTTAAAAAAATTTGTTTAGAAAGGTATAGTTATGGAAAAATAAGGGTCCCCAAAAGTATGTATATACGTATGTATACATGCATGTGTGTTTATGCACGTGTGTGTGTCCCAGAATTTTTTTACCGTTTATTTATTTTGAGAGAAAGAGGAAGAGCATGAGCAGGAGAGGGACAGAGAGAAAGGGAGACAGATAGTCCCAAGCAGGTTCCTCACTGTCAGCACAGAGCCCAAAGCAGGGCTCGAACCCACGAACTGCGGGACCATGACCTGAACCGAAATCGAAAGCTGTATGCTTAACCAGCTTGAGCCACCTGGGTGCCCCCAAAATACGGTAATTTATTAAATGGCTTTCTACTTCACAAATCACAAGAGCACAGACAAACATTTTTTCAATCGCTGGGCGCGCTGTGAAATCCCCCCGCCCATAGGCCGTGGCGTGCTGGAAAACCCACTCAACTTCCAAAAAGGGAAACAGAACAGGCCCTGAGCAGCGCGTCCGCAGGCCTCTGGTGCCCCAAGCTCTCTGTCACCCTAGACATGCCTGGAGCTCACAGGGGCTTGCAAACCCCGCGCAGCAAGGCCGGCAGCTGGCCCGGAGCGAGGGCCCTAGCTAAGGCCTCACCTCACTTGCTAAGTCAGCTGGTACATTGTTAACAGACCAGAAAACCAGGTCTTCCAAGCAGGCAGAGCAGGGTTGAGTCAGCACCACACTGAGCTCTGCTGAGCTGCAGGCGTCTTGCATGCGAAATGGCCCTGCTTGCTACCTTTCCTGTTGAAGAAATGACAATACTCGTGTGCAGTGATTTGCATACACCATATACAGTAGGGGCTCAATAACTACCTGCTCCCTTTTTCCCAGAGAGGAGATGTCTCTCTAGGATAGACGCCAGGCATGTCCAGTTTTCCTTGTTAAGTTTATTTTTTGAGAGACAGAGAGAGAGAGAGAACAAGTGGGAGAGGGGCAGAGAGAGAGAGAGAGAGAGAGAGAGGGAGAGAACTCCAAGCAGGCCCTGCACTGTCAGCACAGAGCCGGACGCTCGAACGTGAGATCATGACCTGAGCCCAAATCAAGAGTCAGATGCTTAACCGACTGGGCCACCCAGGTACCGACTCTCCTGGTTGGTAACGAGCTCTTCCCAGACCAAAGCCGCCTCAGCCTGGACTCAGTGCCCCTCCCCGGCCACAGGCCTTCTTCTTGCCTCCCTTCGCCCTCCCATATGCCCCCATTCTGTCTACATCTTCCAGAAGTCCTGCTGGAACAAAGCTTTATCCCACTGGGTGGCCTGAGGCTCCCGGGGTCCCAGCTGGGCCAGGTGCTGAGCACAGACTCTGGACCCCGGGCTCCAGAAAGTTTTGTCTCACTGCAGAGACAGGGACAAAGCGCAGGGTGCGTGCAGGGCTGGGTCAGAAGGGCCAGGGAAGCAGAACTCGCTGCGGAGGATTCTGCAAGGCTTGCCGGAGGAGGCTAAATCTATGTGAAGGAGAAACGGTAACCCGCTAGGCGACAGGGAGACGAATTAGTGGCCACGTTTGGGGCAAAGACCTGAAAGGGAAGGAGCCCAGGGCCGAGGAAAGAAGAGGGGCCCACGGGCAGCTGATGCCGCTGGTGGGTAAAGCACAAGGTGGGTCACGGCTGGAGGAACTGTCCCTCTCCCTTTCCTACTACTCAACCTTCTGTCCCCACTCTGGGAAGGCTATGACACACCGTGGTGGCCCTACCCTAAGCTGGTGTCCCAAGACTGATCTCTGCCGATTGACTGAGGGAGTCCCTGAGCACCCAGGGAAGTCACTGAAATACTGCACAGTAGCCCTGAGCCCAGACATTTACCATCTAGCTGGGGAGCAAAGAAAGTCACCCCTCTATACGTGACAGCACATCGGAGAAGGGTCCACGACACATTGGGGCAGTAGGTACCTATCGCAAAGCGCTTGAAAGGTAGGGACAGAGCCTCGCGTGTGTCTGTCCCTTCCCCATCAGCCAGCCCAGGCCCCGGCATATAGCAGGTCCTCTCCAGAAGGGTGTGAAGGGAGCTGAAGCCAGGCCTGCTATCTGCCCGACCGTGGGGACGCCAGAGCCGGAGGTGACTGGGAACTCAGGGAGCTCAGGGAGCTCCCGGTGTGGCGAGGAGAGGCAGCCAGACACCCACCAGGGTGGGCTCAGGGATGGGAGCCGTGAACTAAGGACAGGCTCCCCTGGCCATGGTGACTCACGTGGCCACGTACTGGATGGACAGAGGCACGGATTAGTGCAGCCTCGCAGGGCAGGCACACTTAGAAGGGCTTCAGGAAAGTGTGCCAGGAGTGCAGAAAGGGAAAGGCAGCCACAGAAAATGCAGACACTCAGTCCAGGGGGGCAGAGCACAACCGTGGTGAGAGGGCAAGGAGGCGGGTGCAGCAAGCGGAAAGGAGGTAGGGGTGAGGAGACAGCGGAGGGAACTGCACGAGAGAACCCTCTGGAAGGTGCTCAAAGCGCAGGCTTCATCCAGGGACCTATTGGGGACAGGAGCACAGCTGCCTTAAGGGAGGAGCTCTGGAGAAGAGTCTGAACGACAGCAGCAGAGATTTAAGAGGCGTGGGGAGGAGCGCTACCGGGTGACGCCCGCAGTGACCCACTGACTCACCCCCCTCTGGCTTGCTCATCCACTCCCCAAGAAGCCTTCTCCCCTTTAAGAAGTGCACTTAACCATAATCAGCTTCTCCATCTCGACAAGTCACAAGTCATGTATGAGAGCTGACAGTCACAGAACCTCAACTTGTCTCAGCCCGGCAATGGGGGGAATGCGGGCCCTAGGAAGACAGTCTGATGCTGCTAGAAACTGACCTCTGTTGGGGGTGAGGGCCCTTTCCCTTCTGAGAGGGCTCAGGGCCGTGCAGGTCAGGAGCTGAACAGGGGACCAGTGGCTTCCCTGACCCTTCTGAGAAGGTTTCAAAGAAGCCAGAAATGTAAGCACCCTGAGAAAAAGTGGCCTTGTGTTTCAAGAGATGAAGGCAGCCCCCCTCTTCTATATGCTGGGACCTTGCTGACCTGGGGAACCAACGATTATTATCTAGGACTTGCCTCCCCCATCCTGGGTCCCCCAGACAGAGCTCAGCCAGGCTGGAGAGAAGTTTTGCTCACAGAACACAACTGTTTCAGTAAGGACAGACGCAAATCTCTCTCTAGCCTGGAACCGTCTCTTCCAGCATCAGCAGCCTCGGGGCCTTCCTGTTGCAGGGTGAGGGTGGGTAAGGACCCCAGCACCCCAGGCCTCAGAGCCAAGGCCTCAAAGGAACCACGAAGTCACAATCGCCTCAGGGCTACCGCCCTGGGGGCAGATTGGGAAGGCAGGGCGGGTGCAGGCCCACTTAGAGCTCTGGCATTAAAAGCTAGATGACTTATGGGGCGCCTGAGTGGCTCAGTCGGTTAAGCGTCCGACTTCGGCTCAGGTCATGATCTCACGGTTTGTGGGTTCGGGCCCCGCGTGCGTCGGGCTCTGTGCTGACAGCTCAGAGCCTGTTTCAGATTCTGTGTCTCCCTCTCTCTCTGACCCTCCCCTTCTCATGCTGTCTCTCTCTCAGAAATAAAACACTTAAAAAAGTAANTGTTTCAGATTCTGTGTCTCCCTCTCTCTCTGACCCTCCCCTTCTCATGCTGTCTCTCTCTCAGAAATAAAACACTTAAAAAAAAAAAAAAAAAAAAAAAAAAAAGGCTAGATGACTTGGACCGAGTCACCATCCCCTCACCACAAAACGGGGGTTTATTACAAACCGAGGGTTGAACTAGGTTTGAGGCTTCGCCAAAAGCAGTTAGAACGTCTGTTGAGAACGCCGATTCCCAGGCCTACCTCCCCCCACCCACCCCTGGCCTTCCTAACTGCCATTTTGGGAAGGGGGCCTGAGAATCTGTATTTCACAGAACGCGCGACGCACCCCCCCCTCCCACGACCCGTAAACCCTGGTACGAATAATTGCCCGAATCTGAGGAAGCCTGAGAAAGCTGAGATCCCCCCCCCCTCCCACACACACACCGTGGGCTCCGAGTTCTCGGCTGGGCAACGAGACCCGAGGGCCCCGTACGGTCGGCCCCGGCCGCCCGCGATCCCTGAGGATCCGCCCCCCCAGCCCCCCGGCGGGGGAGGCTGGACTTCGGCCTGGGAGGGACTAGGGCAGCGGTCACTCGCGGGCCGAGCCTGAGAGGCCGAATCCCAGCAACGCCCCCCGCAGGCCCCGGACTCCGGAGCAGGGCGGGGACCCGGCGCAGGCTGCGTCCGGGGCCAGGCCTGCACTCCCGCCGGGCCGCAAGAGCTGGTCGGCCGGGCGCCCCTCGCCGCAGGGCCCCGCGGTCCAGGACTCGCCGCGCCAGCCCCTCCACCCCGAGCCCGCCGTCCCCAGCAGGGTCCCCGAGATCACCTGAGGAGCGGCGCGGTGCTCCCGGCCGCACGTGGAGCTCAGGCCGCCCGCAGCTCCCACATGCCCAGGCAAGCCCGCTCCGGCTCCCCGCCCATTGGCTCGCCGAACGGCCGCGCCCGCCTAACGCGTCTTCTGATTGGCCGGGAGCCTGGATCGTGGCGGATAGGCGCAGGGAGGCCGAGGGGGCGGGGCCTCCTAAAGGGGTGTGGTTTGTGCCTGGAGCCAGTCAGACCCGCGAGAAATTATAAACGAACCGGAGCCGAGCCGAGCGCGGCCTCCTGGTTCCGCGGTCCCGTTCGCATCTGTGTCCCCCCAGCCCCGATCCACCCCGCTCCTCGGGTCGGGATGTAGCCTCCTACGAGCTCTGTACCACCAAAGGCCGAATGACTTACAGAAGACACATCCCCATTTGCAGAATGGGAATAATAGCCCCTACCCCTTGGGGGTCGTAGGGATTCAGTGAAATAATACGCGTGAGGGGCACTAAAGAAAGATTTTTAAAGTCAGGTTTGCTCCTTCGGCGCTAGTCTTTCATTGATCTCTTTGCGATACTTTATTTATAAGTATGAAGTTCCTACTATGGGCTCAGCAGTGAGCCAAGCACTGCTTACACAGAATAAGCACAATCCCTGAAACTGCAGTTGCTCAAGGTCTAGCTGGATAAGAGAACGGTTAACAGAGAATTCAGTGCAACGAGAATAATAGCAAGAACAATAATAAACAGTTCACATTTATTATGCGAGCACTACTGTGTGCCAGGCAATACTTATACAATATGTAGAAGATCCCTATGAAATATGTGCTATTATTTTTGTTTTACAGTTAAGGAAATGGACACTTAAACCTTTTTTAATAGTTATTTATTTCGGGCGGGGAGGCTCGGAGAGAGAGGGAGACACACACTGAGCTGTCAGCACAGAGCCTGATGCAGGGCTCACACCCGCCTACCATGAGATCATGACCTGAGATCATGACCTGAGATCATGACCTGAGTTGAGGTCAGAGGCTTAACAGACTGAGCCATCCTGGCGCCCCAAGGAAATTGACACTTTAAAGAAATTGAAAAGAAACAGCTGGTATCCAAACAAAGACCCTGACTCCTCCTAGCTCTGTCCTGCAAGCAGTAGTGACATTGCAAAATACCCAGAAGGCCTGGGGTGCCTGTGCCCAGGAATCTGCTACTTCCGAGACCGGAGTAGATTTGAGGGAAGCAGGACAAAAGACAAGGCCACTAGAGAGGTAAGTCCTTCTACTCAGTCTCCTGATGGCTTCAGGGAGCTAGAGTTTAACCCAGGGCTGGTTCATTTGCTTTTGAGGAAGCTCTCGCTCTAGCTGCAGTGTGGAGAGGAATGGATTAGGTCTGGAGAAAGAGGGGTTCGGGGTGATTGTGGACATCCAGGTAAGGTAAGATCCTGGGGGCCAGAGTGGGAGAGACGATAAAGAGCTCGGGACAGATTCCAGAACTTCTTAGGCAACAGTGATAGGAGAGAGAGTGGAAAGGAAGGGGATAGAAGGTCTCCAGACACAGAGACTTTGTGAGAGCTAATTCTTGGGGCAAGGAGGGTTTTCAGGGACTCAGCATCCAGATCCTTAACTCCCATCTGGCTGGACCTGAGCTGAGCACATGCCAGTCTTTGTGGTTGAGCCTTGTTCTCCTCTTGGGTAACCCGCTGTCTCCAGCTTTACAAAGGAAAGTCTCACACACCTACTCATTCTGAATCTTGCTCTGCTGCATTATCCTGGGAAATGAAAGTAGTCTCCAGGAAGGATGAACAATAAGCCAGTTCCACAGATGAGTTATTACTGAGGAAGGGACAAGAAACCCTTCTACGAGTCAGGTGGTTTCTGATTCGCTTCCGCTGCGATCTAAGGAGGATTTAATTATGTTGTCAGCTAATAGGTCATTTAGAATATTTTGTTTTGAGGCTAGATAATTATCAGGAATTAAAAGATCTAAGACACTGGCAAAACAAACTTCCTTGTACTTCTCTTTGCTTTTTATGTAAACAGTGTTCATCAGTGCTTACAAAAGGTCCAAACTCTGTCTCCTTCTTGGAAAAATTAATATTCATCCCTGGATCCATGAACTTACTGGAAAAACAACTGGCTCAAACTACCTCCTTAAGAGATGTATTTTCAACGGCACTTCCAATAAAATTTTCCTTCTTTATTGTAAAGAGGATTTCTCTGGGACACCTGGGTGGCTCAGTTGGTTGAGTCTCCAACTCTTGACTTCAGCTCAAGTCATGATCCCAGGGTCATGGGATGAAGCCCCATGTCAGGCTCTGTGTTGAGCATGGGGCTTATTTAAGATTCTCTCTCCCTTTGCCCCTCCTTGCTCTATCTCTCTCTCTCAAAAACAAACAACAAAAAAAGAGGCTCTCTAATATTTCATGGAATGCTATATATGTTAGTTGATCACATATATTGCAAACCCTTGCAACAGTACCTCGATTTAGAAGGAAAAAATGAACACCTAGAACTTTATGGGTCACAGAACACTTTTTTAGATTTCACAAGATCAAATTTATATACATATTTTTTTGACACAAATGTACGATTGGCTGATCCAGAAAATATTGCCAAGCCTGAGGATATATTATGCTGGGATTAACTCCATACCAGCTGAATGGAAATAGAAGTTCAAGAAGCAAAAGCAATGTTGCATATAATGTAAGTGAAAAACAAATCCGGATTTAGTAAAGAGAGACATTATTTGGAAGGATTATTGGGCGGGGGGCGGGGGGCAGAGAGCTATAGCCATAGGGGAGTGCTCTGACCAGAAAGTCCACTAGGTTAGGCAAAAAAGGTTTTCTTTTTATAAGAAAGAATAAACAAGGCCAGGAAGAATGGGAATGGAGAGCAGGGATAAACGGGAGTAATCTAATCCCATATCCAGATGGTAGGTTGTGCAGTAGTTGGGAGACTGTTTTATCCTGAAGCCTGTTCTCCGGAGGGGTCGGTAAAGAAGGACTGTAAACTGGCTCTGGCTGAGGGTGGGCCACAGTTAAGGGATCTAGAAGAAGAAGAGAAGCTTAGCCAATGTTTAGTCAATAAGCATTTTGTTGCAGTTGATCAGGGTGCCTAGCAGCTAACCTAACCTAACCGCTGATGAGTCAGGGAATGGGAATTTGAAGTGTCTGTCACCTCATCACAGGTGAAGGAAGGGGGAAATCCATGCATCTTTTTTTTTTAATCTATTTATTTTGAGAGAGATATAGAAAGTACGAGTGGAAGAGTGGCAGAGAAAGGAGAATCTCAAGCAGCCCCATGGGAGGCTCGAACTCACAGAACCAAAACCGTGAGGTCATGACCTGAGCCAAAATAGTCAGACACTCAACCGACTGAGCCACCCAAGTACCCCTCTAAGAGTCTTATCTCAGTCAGATGGGACAGGGTGTTTCTTTGAAATAAGCCATTTCCAGAACACAAAAGGATTCAGGAATTTGTTAATCACTGCTGTTTTCTAGGAGCCCAGGGCTCGGGTGAAATTCAACATTGCCAGTAAGAGTTTTTCATTCACTTTTTAAGTGTATTTGTTTTTGAGATGGGGGAGGGTCAAAGAGAGAGGGAGACAAGAAAATCCCAAGCAGGCTCCACACTGTCAGCACAGAGTCCAACATGACACGGGGCTAGAACCCACAAACCGTAAGGTCATGAACTGAGCCAAAATCAAGAGTCTGATGCCTAACTGACTGAGCCACCCAGGCGTTCCTTCATTTCCTTTTAAAATAGATAACGTTGGTATCAGATTGCTATGATATTTAGACTTCACTGCATTCATTTAAGGACACATTTTTTTTAATGTGAATATTTACAATGCATCCTTTATAACTATTTACATTTATGATTAAAGGGGCGCCTGGGTGGCTCAGTCGGTTAAATGTCCGACTTCGGCTCAGGTCATGATCTCATGGTTCGTGGGTTCGAGCCCCACGTCGGGCTCTGTGCTGACAGCTCACTCAGAGCCTGGAGCCTGTTTCAGATTCTGGGTCTCCCTCTCTCTCTGACCCTTCACGCTGTCTCTCTCTCTCTCAGAAATAAAGAAAACATTAAAAAAAAAAAGAAAAATACATTTATGATTAAAAATATTATCAAGCAGGGGGTGCCTGGCTGGCTCAGTCATTACAGCATGTGACTCTTGATCTCGGCATTTTGAGTTCAAGCCACATTAGGTGTGGAGTCTACTTAAAAAAACAAACAAAGCAAAACAACAACAAAAAATAGTATCGAGCAAAAAAGTTGAAGGTCCCCAGGTATACAACACAGATGGCCCAATACTGGCTTCTCGCCTGTGGATGGCAGTATCCCCAACCCCACCCCTAGGGACCTGGCCCTCTCATTCCTGGAGTGAAAATATCTCCTACTTCCGTGGAGACCGGGCTTCTATATAGCAGCACCCCTCTAAGCTGGGCTTGGTGAGAGAAAGCCCAGAACCCAAGCCCTGTCGCTACGGACCCCTCCCTCTCCTCTCCACCTTCCGAACCCTTAGCAATTGAGACGTAGGACTTGATCTGCGCTGCACTCACAAATCATCATTGCCACAGTCAAAGCACTGTTCTGCCTGCCTTGTGTGCCTGTTTTGAGGACTATTTGGAATGCTATGGGATTCTCATGCGGCTGGACCAGGTGCAGACTTGAAAGGAGGTGTCCGTCTGGTCATTTCTTACAGGAGTAGTTCTCTAAGTGTGCTCATAGACCAGCAGCTCCGGCAGCACCTGGGAATGGGGACCTACTGAGGCAGAAATCCATAGGCTTGGAGCCCAGAAATCTGTCTTAATGTGCTGATTAACAGCTTTGGGGTTCATGTTCAAGTTAAGAGTCCTCAGAGGGTATGACATTGACAAAACTCTGGAAATCAAATGCAAATAATTTTCTCATTTTATTTGAGCAGATTTCCTCCGTATAGCACTCTTGATCCAACGGTGACTTTGGACCTACCTGAACATAGCCTGTCACCATGACATTGGGGTGCCCTTATACCTTCCCTCACTTTCTGAGAACTTCCAGGGTTCTGAAACGTTAGGTTAAGTCTCACATGACTGATTTTTTTTTTCTATAGAAAATGAAGGGGATGTGACCCAAGG